GACTATGAGTACCCCCCCCCCCCCCTTGACATAATTGGTTTGTCAGCCAACTAACGCGATCGATACTAATCTATACACCAAACGCGCATGCTTACCCACATGCATACACCACGAGAGACAGGGGAAATTGAGTGAGGACAACTCCTTCTTCTTTGTGTGTTTCGTGTGCAGGAGTGGGGTCGTGGCTCCTTGTAAGGGCGGCGAGGGGTGAAAATTAAGCACACATTCGAGATTCGCTGGAGCATCAGCTTCAACAATCGGCTCAATTTTTGTTGCGTTCTGCTCCGTGTCTTCCCTTGATTTGGCTCAAAGTTGGTTGTGTCGCAGGACACCGCTAGTAAAAAGTCTCCACCGGTTCCGTGACCATGCCCGGTGCCGCGGCTGGCGACCGTCGGCTGCTGATGGAAGTGGAGAAGGGGAATTTGAGTGGCGTCAAGAAATTGCTCGCGGGCGGAGCAAACGTGGACGGATCGCGCGAGCTGGAATATCCCCCGATCATGGGCGCTGCCAGGTAGGAACAAGACTGCTGTACACAGATTTGCGTGTTTTTTCCTTTTTTTTTGGTTGATGTTCGGTGAGATGTACGAGTCAACAACACGTCAGCTGTGTGAATGCTGTTCGAGCTTGGGAAACGACGCTGATTCCAGCTGGTGGCTGATTTGCACCGACACATGCTTCACTTTCATCTTGCAATCCGCCTTGATGACACTACTATCATGCTCTGATGAGCCCACTCCAGAGGCGCGCCTTGCAGCGTGGCCGTTGGCCTTGCTTCTGAATTGTGGGTGCCGACGGAGAGTACCAAGATAGTGCTATACGCTAGTCTTGTCGCTAATGTCATGGATATTTCTGGCGACTGGACGCTGTCTGAAGTATGAGGGACGCCAATCATGCGCGTCTTGGCGATATTATTTTTCCTTCGCTGACTTTCCATTTTCCAGAAACGGCAATGCCGCCATGCTCAAGCTTCTAATATCTAAAGGTGCCGATCTGGAGACTGAGGCGCGTTTCCCAGCAGGGAGCAGAGCAATCCACGCCGCTATATCTGGGGAGAATCCTACTGCCTTAAGCGTCCTACTGGAGGCTGGGGCCGACTTCAACAGCCGCGATGGTGCAGGGGAAACTCCGCTTATGTTAACAGCTCTTGCTGACACAGGAGCTCTACTGGCACGGGAACTGTTCAAGGTCGGGGCCAGTCCTTTCGTGAAGAACGCCGATGGCATGAGCGCGATGCACGTAGCAGCAGGCCTGGGCAACCTTGAAGTCATGACGGTGATCTTGACAAACACACCATCGGCGCTCAACGTCCTCGACAACAAGGGGTTTACCCCTATGGGTATTGCTGCACTGAGGGGCCAGCGGCGTGCGGTTTTCCATCTTCTGTCGGCAGGGGCGAGCGACCTGGGGGTCGACGAACAGAATGCGGCAATTTTATGGGCTTGCGACGGAGGCCATCCACGCATGGTTCGTATGATGCTCGAACACGGCATCAACAGGGTTGGGGGGCTGGGTGCGATCCCCAACTCTATTGGCGTGGCAGTGCAGGGTCGGCAGGCCAAAATTCTCGAGATGCTGGTTTCCGCCGAGGGAGAGGAGAATCGACGAAAGTGGGCCGAGTGCCGGTTGAGGGACGGCACTCCGCTTCACCTGGCTGCAGCATGGGTCTCTGTAAGGGCAATACATGTGCTTCTCTCGGCTGGAGCGAGGGAGACGCTACCCAACGGCTATGGCAAGGTACGTGTGTTAATTTCCATAGAGGCTGTGCTTTTGTCGCCGGTAGTGATTGTATCCAATACGTAGTCTCACGTGTAAGCCATGGAGAGGCCGGAAAGCCTCGAGGATTTTTACGTTTGCGTTGTAATAGTTTGATGATGCCCGGGTAGGGGGTCAACGGTACGAATAAGAGCATTCATCGATAGGGACAAACAATTCGTTCCCTCGCCTCTCTCTTTTTCTCCGCCTACGCGTGAAGCTTGCTAGCGAAGAGGTTGGGATAGCCTTAAGGCCACCCGCCCGGAGGAGTCCACGGAAGGAGGCGGCCGTCGTTCGAATGCTGCAGAGGGGACCAGCTTACCGTGCTCGATCGTACGGTTGGCCCACCCTAGATGGCGGCAATGGTACCTCTGACGTGACCCTCTCGTCGAGAACCAGGGGAGCGAACTCCTTTGGGGTGCAGATTTTTCGTCCGACGGGTACGAGATTCTTCGCAACCCGGTTCGCCAGGTGCGGAAAGCATGTTGTGGTGATTGTGAACCGTTGCACTTGTGGAGTGCCTGCACGGGAAGGCCGTGCGGAGGTTTGCCCTTGTGCGGAATCACCTAGTGTGGAGGCTATCTTGAGTCTCCACTTCGACCTGATATTTGCTGGATGAAATCGATGCACTTCGAGATTATAACCTGGAGCATCTAATAAAAATGTGGAATGGTCTAGGGAGGGTTAACGTGCATCTTGAAAGGACGCCTGTGGAGATTGTGTACACTATGGCAATGAACCCGTCCCTTTCTTTTGACAGGTTGGGAACGAGAAGACATAGGTTCCTCGATTTGGCCGAATCAGGCTTGCTCACGCAATTTATCGTCACTCCTTCAAACCCCATTTACGCACGCTTTCGGAATTTTTTCAATCTCTGCTCTGGTTTGCCTTTGCGAGCCGATCCCACGAACTACTGTACATACTCTTGGAGCCCACGCTTGGATGAGACGAACGCGAGGCAGCACACGAGATTATGCCAACTGAGGCGGTGTTTGAAGATGCCACAGAGATCGCGTTGAACGTGTGAAGAACCTTGTGCTGTCCTAGGACGAGCCCTGTCACAAATTTCCCTTTGAGCTCAACAAACTTGCGAAAAAAAACCTCGAGGATGTCTTTTTCATTTTTTCCCTTTCGGTGTTGGCGCCTCCTGGTTATGGAACAATCGCACGATAATGGTCAATCTAGGGGGTGCGCATGGCTGGCAAGACTGCCACCGACCACAACAGTAATGATCATACGGGCTGTTATCGTTTTTGTGTTCACTTGAAAAAACCTCTAGTGCTCTACCGCACTTTCTAGCACAACGATCAAAGTTCAGTACTACACAGCTATTACCCACGGACCCATGGGACTCGAAAAATATCATGAAAATGCCCCTAGTCGAGGAAGTGACGAAACCCAGGCAGCGGAGTTAGAGAGACTTTGGACCAGCATTGCGGTTGAAATCTCCACCGCGGTTGCACCCATTGGAAACCAGAAAGAGGGGAACCAGTGCTGCATCGTTCCGAATGTGTCCGTTGATAATAGCTGCTACAGGTGAAGGAACCGATTAAACTGAGGATGCCGTGGATGGCCCCATTTGACTGCTGTGTCGCCTCTTACCTGTCTGGTTGCTTGCGTCCTTGTTCCAGATACGCGAACAAGTGAGTATTCAACAGGGCTGGAATGGTGAAGCACGGGTCAACTTTGTAGACAGCGAGCAGCCTTTGGGTGGTGACACCGCAAGCGGGAATACCTTTGCCGTCGTTTCCTGCTGGATCAACAACCTGTTTTTCGTGGTCGATGCGCTTTCCGAAGAGGTCACTGATTATTCTGCGACATTCTCGTATTTATTTCCTGTGAGTAGCTGAATGCATCAGCGAACGTTGCCATCCAAGATTCTGTGCAAGAGCAAGAATTAGTCGTTCATGCAAGTATTGGATAGGGCGACCGAGAAACGCGCTATGTCGTATGATATGTAGCGTTCGTTTGCATGCTGGGACTCCCTGCTTCGTTTGTTCCCATGCCCTGCCCTCGGTGTTTATCTCCGTTGTTGTATTTCATCTTGCTTTGGAAAAGAAAGCGTTAACTTTGGAGTGCAGTGCATAGATACCTCCACCGTAAAAAGCCGGGGCAAATGTAACATGCCTGCTGGCATCTCCGCATTAGTTCAAGTGGAGATGCGGAGATGCCGATAACCTCCACAGGATGGGGTAGAAGATACTGGTGTTGGCTTTGCCTCCGGAGATGATGCGGGGCTCTCGCCTAGAGCCCTTGCAGGTGTGTCTGGGCGTCCGAAGGGCGCCACCACCACAGCCGGCGCCGCGGTGATGAGGGATGATGGGGCCGAAGGTCAGGGATCATCGAAACCAAGCACCGCCGGCGCCGCAACAGTGTCACCCATAGGGGTAGATGCCTAGTTACAAAACATTCGGCGGGGCGTGCTTCAAAGTTAGCATTCTCTCGCTTGAAAGATAGTAGTGGACATGAACATACAGGGTGTCGGGCGGCTTTGGCCGCCAGATCGATCCACCAGGTATACGATAAACGCTCGATCGAACACGTTCAGTTCAGATCGTAACGGGTTAAAGTACTGACACGAGGGATACAACCGGCGTCCTTCGCAGACTTGATGACATAGAGCCGGTCGCGATGACTCACGTTTTTGCACGACAGAGGTTCCCCTGCCAAGCAAACACTCAGACGAGTTTTTGGCGCAACGTCGTACGACTACCATCCAAAACATAACTCGGGGGGCGAGATCGTCCCGGGGGTCCTCGTTACACCACCACACATTTTCTATTGAATTGTCTGCGATAGTGCCAATCTTTGACTACAAAACAAACAGCAGCAATGGGCACATTCCCGCCGCCATTGCCCCGCCCCGGGTACGTCATTTCGACGTGATTTTTATCTGATCATTTCAATATAATCGCACGCATCGCTCCATCCTTCCAAACGAAACCTGCATTGCGGCTCAGCTCGAGACGCGAGGGTATCGCTCTTTCTCTACTCCTGCTCAGACTGGAAGTACAACCCTCTATAGCCCCCACCTCGGTGCATGTCGCGCCCAAGACAGTGCAACCACCAACGCGAAGAATATCGCCATGCAACACGTTACTACATGCATTCATCATGCGGTATGTACAGACTTGGGGCGGCGATTCGCCTTCTTTGGCAACTACTCCTACCCATACAGTGAGCACGTCGACATTCGCCACCACTTCTGTCAGGAGCTTTCCTTGTGGTAGGAAAGAAAGGGGAATCATTAGCTCTTTGTACACCGTCCGCGGAGCAGCATGTGAACTTCTCACGAAACCGCTAGCTCAAGGAATTCTTGAAGTGCGCGATCTCTGTGATAGTTAGGCTATTGAGTGTTCTTCATGGTTGACATTGGGTGTGGATTTGACACTTTTTCGTAACGTTCGGGTGATTCCTCGGGCGGGGCGGGGGGTTAACGACCTACCATGTGCAGCAGCACGAATTTCATCTGCTGTGTTTAGCTTGGATTGTGATTGTGGTCATTTCCATCAAGGTTGGTTTTCATGGCATATTTTCTGGTATTCGCGTTTCCCCTGTGGATTCGGACGAGTGTCGAAACAACTGCTGGGAAAAGGCGGTGTTGCCAATTTGTTTTTGAGAGGAACGGCACCAACAAGGAGCTCTTGAGTTTTGTTTTTGAGGTTTGCCAACGTCGACCTCTCTTGCGAAGAAAATGACACCTGGTAGGTAGTGTTGATGTTGCTCCTGGAAATGGCATTGAACTTTGATGTCACATTCATTTTCTGGAAGATTGACTTATGGTCGGGATAGAGACGCACAGTAGTGCATCTCAGTCGAATTTTCACATGGGACACGTGAAAATGTGATACAGACTTGGAGAGGTGGAAGATCCAATTTCGGGAGATTATTCGGATGGATGTGAGTTGCCGGCGTTTCACCTTTGCAAGTGTTGCAGAGGCTGTTAAGGGTACACGTCGGTCGGCATGATGCGCGGAGCCAGTGGAATCCGGTCGATATTATTTCTAGGGAGTTGCGGGGTTCCCTGTGATTCGGTTCGCATGGCCTTCCTCTGCATGGGGCTTCGTGCAATCAACACACGGATGATTTTCTGATTCATGGAAGCACGCCTACATCAAAGCGCCAACTTCACTCACAAAGAACATTTTGGGGTTCCCCGACGGCAATGATAGCCACCACGGGATTTTTCACACTGACGCAGAAGCACCGAAGTAAGCATTTGCTGATGAGCGAAAACTGTTGTCGTCCCAAGGGCGTACAATTTCTTTTTGCCGACACCTACCCGACAAAAAAAAAATCAGACCTCTCCCAAGGGTTCCTCCAAGTGGAAACATTGGAACACCCTAGTTTTCATATCAGTATTGGTCGCGGTGGGGGGGGGATAAGCCATATATGTCCCCGGGGGGGAACGTTTTGACAAAATCCTCGGGGTTTCGACATTGTCCGGGCGCTTTTTCCAGCGCGCGCGCGCGGGATCCCACACAGACCTAGTGGAAAATATGGAAACACCCCAAGAATTCGCGTCTTGGTCGCGAGGACTAGTGTATGGTGTAGGAAACAGTATGACGACACGAAAGCCTACAAATTGTTTGATGGTTTTCGAATGCGGCACGAAAATCTATTCAATAAAGAGTGTATTTGTTTTACTCTAGACGCACTAGAAAAAATCCTATAAAATAGACTGCTGCAAGTGAGCCGCCTAACCTGGCGATCCTGCGTGTCGATCTTGGCCCGGGAGAGGGGGGGTTGGGGTATGGAGTTGTTTCACGGTTTCCACATGGAGGGACCCTTGCCTCTTCGGGGGGGGTGTACTCGTAGTCGTGCATGCCGTAGTCGTTAGACCATTGACCTCGCATCCCTACAAAGCCGGGACGGAGCACGCCGGGTTCTCACCGGACCAGGCTCTCACATCACCAAGCGCGAAACGCCGTGAGATATTCGGCGAGTCGCATGAAGGGTGCGCTGCATCCTGCTAAGGGTGTTCGGCATCTTGTGCTTACTTCCTTGCGTACGCATGACAGCTGCGTATAACTCGATTTATTTTCTGGTGCTTGCACTTCC